ACCCAAGTATTTGTAGACGACTGAACAGCTGAAAACAGTACCAAGGGAAGCATTCCTGTCGATTTTCATGTTGTTCTGGGGGCGTACTTGAAACTCCAGGAATGATAAGGTGGGGACCGAAATGGTAGCTGCCCCGTTGGAAATGAGGCTTGCACCAACCCTGTTTCCAGATTGAGGTCGCAATTGTGAGTAAGTGTTGTGTGTGTGATGTGTCCCCACCCCACCCTCGACCTAGCACGTGTGCCCCCATCATCAGATGTCATTTCACGGCACATCACAGAGAGAGGATGGGCTTAAAAAGAATGGCAGTGAACGTCATGGTGTGGCTTACGTTCCTTTGAGCACCTGCCATGTGTAACCGTGGAGAAGAACAGAACCTCTTGGGTGTTCAAGAGAAATCTGAAGGTTTAGCTTGACTGATGTTGAGCTCGTTTTGAATTGACAGTCTTGTTTTTAAAATTTTCCTGCCTTGGCTGGCAGAACGACAAAAAGTCCTTTTCGAAAGCCCCAGTTTGATTTCACTATCAACCACTTAACCACGATATTAATTTTTTTCAACTGCTGAGAGCTTTGAAGATTTTAAGTTACCCTATGAGTTGGAAAGTAGTTGTGTTTCTGAACCAGAACAGCTTGTTCACTAAGTAACATGCCTCTTCGAGTCCCTGAAGTTCGTTGGCATTGGAACAATGCCCTCTTACCCCTACCATTATAGAAAGTGGGATTAATTATATCTCATTGTAAGTTGTAGATTTCAAAAACATAATTTCTGTGAGTTAAGAATTTAGCTGACATCTCACACTTTGGACAAAAGTGCCCATGTCTGACCTGTCATGTTATAAATAATTTTGATTAGTGGTTTTGTAAAGAGAAAGAAAGCCTGGACCTCGGAAATCAGCCCTGGCACAATCTGGTGCCTGCAGGCTTGGAACTTTTACTGTAGGCTCCTGCTGTGGAGTAGCTGCACCTTGAGAGCAGCTTCTGCTTCGTTGTCCTTCATTCGTTTGTTCTAGAGCCAGGCATCAGGAGTGAAGTGCTTTCTTAAATAGAGACGTTTTCTTGTGGGTAAAAATCACAGTGTAGTCTCAAATTTGTTTTAACTGAGAAGGCACATTTATGTGACCATAAAAAAAATTCTTCAAACTTGATCTTCCTACTTAGTAAGGAGAGCTTTTGCTTCAAATAAAAAAAGCCATGTTATTGACCAGGTATCAACATTTATGGTTGTCAGGGATATTACAGAAAAAAATATATATTTATGCTTGCTACTTTTCTCATAGACTGGAAATGGCAACGTAAGTTATCCTTTCGATAGGTTGACTACATCAGCATGAGAGTAATTGGTTGAGTATTCGAGTAAGATGAGGACTGAGAGGGGAGTGGCATGTTTGAGAACATCCCATGCCCAGCCCACACAGGCTCCAGGAGCACCTTTAGGAGAAGATACCCATGGATCCCTTTGCTGCCTTGGTGTTCGTGCCCTGAGTGACTGTGGTACAGAATTAAGCATACTGCTCTAGGGATAAAACCCCGATATTTGTCTCTGACCAGTGCTACCAGGGAACTGAAGAGCTGACAGTTGGTCAGTCGGACCCCTTTTCTTTGTTCCGGTAGGTTCTCATGTGGCATGAGACCAACTATGACATTCATTAACATTAAACTAGTGATGAAGTCAAGGAAAAGCAACCCGTCCTCTCCAAGGAAGATATCTTATCACTTGAGAAATAATCTTGAGAGTTTTGTTGAACAATGAACTGTGGTAACGGATTTCAACTGCCCTTTTGAAGTATAAGAATAGAGTGTGTACTAAAATATGCAGAACTGAACTTTAGTCTTGTTTTGTACTCATGTACTCATGTCCTCTCTATACGTATTGGTTAGGTCTGTCTGCAGGTTGAATACTGGCCATTTATTTTAGGCTTATAGATTCAAGGAATAAGAATTGTTTTTGCTTTGCAAAAACTAAATTGTTCTTTAAAAAAACAGTGGGGGCCGGCAAATGGTGTAGCAGTTATGTTGCTGGATTCCCACATGGTCGACCATGGTTGGAGTCCCTGACCCTGTGGCTTAAAACTCACGCTGGGCGCATGTGCATGGGTGCCCAAGATCCTGGGAGGACAATGAAGGAGAAGGGACCGCGGTGTGGCCATCCTCTTTGGGGGTGACTTCTCACTTTCCCTCTCACTGTCTCTATCTCTGTCTCTCTTTCTCTTTGGCAAGTATATGCACCCTAAGGCAGAAACCTCTAAAAAGAAAAAAAGCAAAACATGATAAGCTGTGTTAAGAGTAGTCCTGTCTCCTTTGCAAAATGTAATTTATATTATATTTCAGTATTCTCTAATAACTTTTGAAAATTGTACCTTAGTGGATAGCTAGCTCCTCCATAGCTATTGCCAGATATAGTGTATGCTAAACCTGGTCTGAGGCATTATCTTTGGTTCATACAACTCTCTTGACTCTTAAATGTTCTCCAAAGACGTATCTCAGGGCTCCCGGGGCATCTCCACAGTTTCTTATCCTCTGCACCACAGTTCCCAGTGTTGGGTCTATGGATAGTCGGCACCAGAATTACTTAGGGGCTTATAGGAGTGCGACCTCCTTGAGACCAGCAGATGGCGTAATGGTTATGTTGCTGGACTCCCACGTAGCCGACCACAGTTTGAGTCCTGGACCCTGCAGTTTCCAGCTCATGCTGGGTGTGCATGCATGCATGCATGCCCAAGATTCTGAGAGGAAAATAGAGTAGAAGGGATTGTGGTGTGACCTACCCTCCCCCCCCCCGGGAGTGATACCTTGATTTCTGTTTTGTCTCTGTCTCTCTCTATCTCCCTGGCAAGCGCACGCGCCCGATAGCAAAAAATCTCTCTCTTTAAAAAAAAAAGTGCGGCCTCCTGAGCCTCCCACAGACATACCCACCCATGCTGCCTCACTACCAGACCTTGTAGATATGTAGACGCCTTCGTATTCACAAGCCACCTGCTGCTGATCTATAAGGACATGTATCTCTCAGATGAACAAGTTGAATTTGGCCAGCAGGGCTCCCTACACCCTTTTTAGGTACTGTTCACTGGGTACTAGCTCTGTTAGGTGACTGCTGATGCAGGCCGGGCTCTATGATGGTGCTCGCATGGCCAGCCCGAACCTGAGCTAGATAGAACCTTCTAGACCACGGTTACGAGTGAGATGCATAACGAATGCAGACTTCATCCACTAGGGAAATTAATGGGAGGATTAGTTTAGTTTTATGTTATAAGTATGAAGTATATTTAAAAGTATCTTTACCTAGAAGAAACTTTAGCTATTCGTTGAAATTAAGCATTTAATTCACAAGGCTGTTAGCTCCTAGGAGCAGGGCTTGGCCTCCTGGGTTGTTCTACCCACAGGACTTCCCAGAACATCTGGCATGTGGGCATTTGTGTTTGTTGAGTAAATTAGCAGATTCCTTGATTTATTAAACATTGGCTAAGTTGGCCAGCAATTTTGACCAGTCTGCCAACTTTCTGAAACGTGTGATCTATTGTATATTTCACAGATTTTCATTTTGATATTGGTGTTTTCTTCATTTCTGACTTGAGGGTTGAAGGCAGATTTCTATCTCAACTGTTTGTAGTGAGAAGCAAGTGGGCGCTGAGCCCAGGACAGGAGGACGAATGGCCTGTAGGTGGCCCTGTGGACTTCACTGGTCCACTCACCTGTGTATGGGGTAGGGGTGTCTCCTTGCGGAGCCTTTCAGAGGCTTGTGCGAGACCCTCCTGTAGCAGGACCTGAAAGGAAAGGTGTTTCCCTTCCTTTACGAGTGAGATAATAGACCATCAGGTGGTGTAGTGGTTGGTTAAGGCTCTGGACTCCCATGTGGCTAACTGCAGTTTGAGTCCCAGACCTGGCAGCTTGCTTTCTCATTCTCTCTCTCTCTCTGTCTCTCTCGATCTTTGGTGAATGCATATGTCCTATAGCAAAGTTTTTAGAAAGTAATAAATAAATAATTCTTTAAAAAGAAACCCAAAACATGTGTCTAATTGCCAGTGCCCGTTTTCACAGGATGTTAACATAAGTCACGTGGGAGTAGCAACTAAAATCCAAGCATCTTCTCTTTTTTCCTGGACGCGTTTTACCGAATTGCTCACCTGTGAGCATGACACTTTTCCTTGTGGCTCACAGAGAATATCATCTTCCTAGTGCATGACGGGATCTTTCGATGACCACGTTTTCATTCCTCTTCGTTTTGGGCTGTCACGTGACTTTTAATGGTCTCGTTGGCAAGCAGATGAATGAACTGGGTGTGACGTTAGTGACAGCTTAATGAAAGGGCAAGCCTCCCTCTGTTTTCTCCTTTCAGAAATGACTTTGGTCTCAGCCCCAAATCATTTCCTCTCCCCGTGGGGTGTTTGCAGCCTTGTACCCACTTTATTGACTGCATTAATATTGAGACAAAACATGCAGTTATGCATTCCCTGGGCCCCGTGGTAGCTCTGCCGAAAGACTGGCTGTCTTCACCGTACCCACTTCCATAGACGCCAACACATCCAAGTTCCTCAGGTTGTTGCCCATTTTGAAATGGAGCAACCATTTCATTTCCTGTCTTTTCGTGATGTTCGAAATTTTCCTAGGAATTTTTACCTTGTAGTAAGATCAGAATAGTCACTTCCCTGGCAGGCTCCGTTTTTATGTTCTGATACGTTTCAAGCATGTTTCCCCGGTGACATTGATTGTACCATTTTTCGTGAGTGAAATAGAAGTGCGTATGAATGAGCCGGGACGTTTTTAACCCCTGCTATTCTGCATCTCCAGTTTTGAAGAAGAAAATGATTCTGTATCCCTTAATCTTTAGCCAAGGTTACATAGCAGACCCTGCCACTGTCATTTTTAATGCGTGATTGTGGCCTTGAAGTCAGGGAGCTTCCGGAAGCATGAAAGTGTGCGTGGAATGGGCTTGCTTCTAGAAACTTGCCTTTGAAACTTTGTCAGACCACAATATGATTTTTGTTTTGTTTGTTCTGATGCAGCTTCCATGAGGCAGTTTCAGGCCGAACCTGCAGATTTGCGTCCGGAGATATGGATCGCGCAAGAGTTGCGGCGTATTGGAGACGAGTTTAATGCATATTACCCAAGGAGGGTAATGATGTTTCTTTTTTACCCTTTTCTCCTCACCCCCCTCCCTGCTGTGTTAATAAAAAAGGTGCCTAGTAATAACTACATACTAACTAGAAACGAAAGGTGTCACCTGTGTGTGACCTTTCATTCTTTCTTTTTCCATTTCCCATTTGCTTTATGGCTGAATTTAAGCGATGAAAATTAAATAAAACCCCACTAAGAGGCAGTAGAGGAATTTTATGAGCCCAGACCTTAAAACATCAGTGCTAAAAAGGGATTATGTATAAGCTTTAAAATATCCCCACTTGAACATTAACAACATAACTTTCGATCCATATAGGGTGTTCTTGTTCTCCGTTTAAGCAGTCTGGGTCAAAGTTAAGGGAATTTTAAAATTCTCATCATCCCTCAACTCAATAGAACAGTGCCAGCACCGGTATAAAAGACTCTTGTGATCTGCAGGGTGACCTGCTTCAATCCAGTGGCCTTCTGCCCCTGGACACTTTTTAAATTTTTAAATATATTAGAAGGCCACTAATTGATAGCCTGCAATTAAGGGCATAAAAAACTTTAAATCAGGATAGTTGCTGCCACCTATATTTTAGGTATTTTCTTGATTTTTAAAAAACTTCGGCCCTGGGGGCTGGTAGATGGTGTGGTGGTTATGGTGCCTGGGCTCCTACATAGCTGATGGTGGTTTGAGTCTTGGACCTGGTGGCTTGCTTTCTCACTTCCCACTCTTTCTCTGTTTCTCTGTGGTCAAATTTTAAAAAGATGATAATAATAGATAAAATTAAATAAACAATTCTATTTAAAAAAAAAAAAAGCCCTGGCCAGCTGGTAGTGAGCTAGTAAGGCAGCCGGATCTCACCTGGCCGACTGCACAGTTCAAGCCCTGAACCTCGTGGCTTGAAAAGCACACTGGGTGTGTGTGCACACCCAAAATCCCAAAAGGAGAAAAAGAGGACAGGATTGTGACATGGCCACCCCCCCATGAGGAGTGCTTTCTCTCTTTTTTTCTGTCTCTCTCCCCCTACGCAGCGCACACACACCCTCTAGCAACTTAAAAACAAACAAACAAAAAACAATTTTAGCTGTATCTCTTTCGGGGGAAGCAGTGTATTTTGTTGGTTTGCGCAGTGGCAATCTGTACGTCTATTTGGATAGCTTTTTCACATGGGAGACGTTGGGAAACACGTGGGCTTTAGTGAGAGTGGGGACTTGATCTAAGGGGTACACTAGCAAATGCGTGATAGAATGTAATTTTAACTCGTTTACATTTTTCAAACACTTCTTATGAAAGACACACGTGGCCGACCACAGTTCAAGTCCTGGACCTGGCGGCTTGCTTTCTCACTTCCCCTTTCTCTCTCCCTCTGTCTCTCTGGTCAAATTAAAAATAATAATAATAATAATAATAATAACAACAACAACAAATTAAATAAAATAAATAATTTTTTGAAAAAGAGAGAGATCTATTGTTTTATTCCTAATGGAAAACAAGAAGTCTTATTTTGCGGAAAATGCCGTAATTGTTACTCTTTTTACTATGTCACTTCTTTTTTAGCTCTGTTTTTTAAAGTTGGTTTTTTTCCGTGAAAGAGACAGTGGTATATAAAGAGACAAGCACCCGCACAGGGTCCTCACACTGCAGTCTACCCCCAGCTCAGCCAGCCCCATTCATGGGCATGCTTGCATCACACAGCGTGTATGAGAAGACCCTGGATGCAAACCCAGAACCTTCCAATTGAGTCCAGTTGCAGTCGCCACTATGCCACTGTCTGGCTTCTGAATAATATTGTTTCATATACATACTTCTTAAAGATTCTTTTTTGAAATCTCTCTGCTCTTCTGGAAGGAGATCATCTTTAGGACACCCCAGTGTTTCTACCCCACTTTAAATGTTAGTCTCTTATTTAGCTAGCTGTAGTTAGATCAGTAGATGTTACCTAAATCAGTAGACATTGTAACTGCTTTGAATCATTCTGGTGTTCCCGTCTCTGTATAATGCTTTTCAGATTCCTTTGAGACACGTGGGGAGACATTCTCCCATTATAAGGGAGTCATTTCTTCAGGGCAGAATCTCTGTGTGGGTGTCAGGGACTTTCTGAAAGCACACCAGTTCCTTTTCCTACCTTCCCGTGGGCATGAGTGTGTGTGTGCATGTGTGTGATGATGGAAAGTGTGCTATAGTGATTATGTCATTAAATGGGAAGCGTCACCTCAGTGAACGGGCATGGGCGTTTCCTATGATTGCTTTAGCTGGCAAATTGCCTACCTTGCGACCTGCCCATGACATGGTCCAGTTCACAGAACATACATTCCGTTTCAGCTTCAATCTGAAATGGTAATTATTAATATTTTAGAAATTTGGGGAGGGAACCAGCAGTTAGCGTAATGGCTATGTCACTGGACTCCCACATAGTCGAGGACGGTTCGCGTCCCGGACCCAGGGGCTTAAAACTCACGCTGGGCATGTGTGCGTGCGTGCCCAAGATCCCGAGAGGAGAATGGAGGAGAAGGGATTGCAGCGTGACCATCCCCCCTGGGGGGTGATTTCTCGCTTTCTGTCTCTATGTCTCTCTCTGTCTGTCTGGCGAGTGCATGTGCCCTATAGCGGGAAAAA